AAAAAAATAAAAAAAAAAATAAAAAAAAAACACATCATAGTAAAATTAATACCTTCTCAGCTTCGCATCGAAGCTAAAAATTTATATATTTCTGTGGTGCAGATGATGAAAATTTTCATTTATCATTTATTCTATATCCGTGATTTGAATTAACTGATGGTATCAAATTCAAGTAACTACTTTAACCATATATGTTTTGGTTATAACCAGATTGGTCACACTGATTAAAAAGATGATGGATTTTATAGCATCTATCTGAGGTGGGGATATTAAGAGATAGAAGTGGAGAATAATTACAGAATCTGACTAAGTGTGCAAATTAGTGAAGTACTTCGTCTTGTTTAATATCCTTAATTAATTAAAAATTTTTTTTAGATTATTGGCCCAAATATTTTGTATGCTAGATGAGTCTTTTATATATACTATAGCATAGGGTTTTAAGTTGACTACTATGGTTCGAAAAAAATTTCTGGTATGATTTTTATGGTAGTGTGTATTAAAATTTTTATTGTATCGAATTGTAAAATTTATATGATACATGTATAAATTTATTTAAATCTTTAAAATTTATATTTTAATTAATGTTCGTATTAATTTAATCTATGTTAACTTGTTTATTTGTGGTGTTAAAATAAAATATTGGATGACTTTTAGATAGATAGAAAACTAATTTATAGTTATTTTCTCATATTACAGTTTTTTGGGCTGTAAAATTTACATGCATATTACTAAAATGGATGAAAAATTGTTAAATGATTTACTTGAATGTTCAGTTTGTCTGGAACGCTTGGACACTTCTAGTAAAGTTTTACCATGCCAACATACATTCTGCAAAAAGTGTTTAGATGAAATAATAGCTACACATAAAGAGCTTCGATGTCCAGAATGTCGTACATTAGTTGAATGTCGTATTGACGAGCTTCCTCCTAATGTTTTGCTTATGCGAATATTAGAAGGTATGAAAAGTAAGAGTAATACTATATCACCTCCAAAGAAGCCAACTATTGACAATTCTGATGTTAGACCTCATAAAACGTCTAAACAGGTATTTATTAATTATTTTAGCTAAATATATTTGGAAAAATATAATGGGATGTAACGGGTATCAGTCCATGTCTGTAACATTAACATCAATCAGTTATAAGAGTCACAAAATTTATCAGAACTTTAGTTAACTGGTTGACAAAAACAACCTATACATTGACCCGATTTAATCTTGTGACCCTTTACACCCCACTTTATGGTACTAATGTTAACTATTAACTAATATATAATTTACTTTTTTTCAAGATGCCATATCAACGTAATATGTTTGCTAGAGCATTATATGATTATTCTTCAAAAGAACCTGGGTAATTTTTAATTATGTACACATTAATAAATGTATAAATTAATTACAAATAACTTTAAGTTGAATAATTCTTAATCATATAATAATTAATGGTAATTTAATGAAATACACTTAAACTTATATTTTTAGGGATTTAAGCTTCAAAAAAGGGGATATGATTATACTGCGCCATAAAGTAGATTCTAATTGGTATCAAGGAGAAGCAAATGGAGTGATTGGTATATTTCCTTTATCATATGTGCAGGTTAATTGAATTACAGTTTTAAATTTTTTTCTATGATGTATTATTTTTACTAAGTTGAGCATGTTGTGAATATTACAGGTCTTCCCAACATCTCTCCCTAGTCATATACCACAGTGTAAAGCATTATATGATTTTAAAATGAACAAAGAAGATGATGAGGGCTGTTTATCATTTTCAAAAGTAATTTTTTTTTTATGTTTAATTAGCTTATTGGTCACTTTTTTGATATTTGTTGATCAAATATTTACTAAGCAGATTTGTTATTTTGGTTATAGGGTGATGTTATTACTGTTCTGAGACGAATTGATCAAAATTGGGCAGAAGGTAAAATTAGCAATAGAATTGGAATATTTCCATTATCGTTTGTTGATTTAAACCAAATTGCTAGAGCTCTTATGAAATTGTCAGTAAAGTAAGGATTTTTTATCTTATAATACTAGTATAAAATCAATCTTAATGTTTGAAACAATTTGTAATGCAATAATAAAATTAATTTAATTTTGTAATTATGGATCTATTTTTTTTTTTCAATAAAATTATAACTTATTTTGATACCTAATAATTGTTAAATTATACTGTTTTCACTGCTTGAAAAATACCAAGTATTTGATGAAATAATGGCAAACTGGCTTAATGATGTATAGCAAGAAAATATGTTTAAATGTTTTAATATCTTTTTTTTAAATTTATTTTTAGTTCTCAACCTACTCAAAATCGAACGGCACCGCCTACTCCTGATGAAACCACCTCATTATTATCTACTGATATATTAATAGCAAATCAACCTAGCAATGTAAAAAAGCATACTATTAATGAAATAAAAAGTGTGACAACTGTTTCAAAACTTACAAATGACACTTCATCATCATCATCTACAACTACAACATCACCAAATACTACGCCATCAGATACTACATCTAGTTCCCCTAGCCAATCTCCTTCCCATCATACACCAATTGAATCTATTAGACCATTAACAACATCACTTTTAGAACTACCAAAACGACATAGCTATACAAATGGTGATGGTCCAGTGTCACAAGGCCATATATCACAAAATATCAAAAGGTTAAATTTTATATATTATTATTATATAAAATTTGGTATTCTATGTGCAATATTGTGTACATTTCAAATTATAAGTAGAAAATTCATGATGTATTAACATAAATTTTTTGAGAACAGCATGCTCTAAAATTCACTTAACTAGTGTGATCAGAATATATGACAACTTCTAGGAATATTTTACAAAAATAAATTATAGTTAAAAAATAATCTATTTTATCGAAAAAATGTATATGAGTAATATATAGTATATATATATATCTAGTATTCTATATAAAATAATAGATACAAATGCAGGACATATAAATTTTATTTTGTTAATATATATAATCAAACGGAAAGTTGGTTATGTGGCAGTATGTAACAGTTTATCTACCAATCCTAAAATATTTAATTTAGGAAGGCTTCAGTAATCTTAAATATTTCATGAAAGCATGAAAAAAGTTTATATATTTATGTAACTTTACTGAATTTTATGATTTTTTAATAAAAACTACTTAATTTTTTAACCTTATTGTTCATATATAATTTAAAGATTAATTCTGAAAAAAAAGTTTTTATGCTTTATTTAAAAATTAACTATTAAAATAATTTTTCAAATATTTTAATGAATTAAAATAGAAAAAATGTCATTAATATATAAATATGCTTTTAAAAAATCCACTCAATAATTTTATAATCTTATTAATAAAATTACTAATCAATAACAACTTTTATGCTAGAATTTTTTGGAAGTTGTTAATAATTTAAAATAGTAGTTTGTAGATAAAGTAGGAGTGTTGTTATTTTTGTCACTAGATATTTCTTGGGAGTATTCATTATATTTAATCATTAATAACTTTTTAAATACTGATCCAAAAGTTTTCATCAACTAGATATTTTCTTATAAATAATTAGTTATTTTTATATGTTCCTTTTTAAATAACTAAGTCATTACCATTAAAAAAAATAAGAGTTGAGCTTATAAAATATTTGATTACTACATGATTAAATAGATAACATATAAATTTAAATTACAGAAATAATAATACAATTATAATAGTAGATAAACGTTTAAATAATGGATATTTATTGTGGTCTTTTTAGATAATCAAGGTAATATTTATTAATAATATTTTATATATTATGTAATTAATATTTATTAATTTAATTAAAACTGTAAGATTTGTGCAAAAATATCAATATAAATATGTTTATTCAAGTTGTAATTCTGCTTAAAAGAAGTTTTAGTTGCAATATTAAACTCTATGAAATATAATTCTCCATCATTATTTTCAAATAAATAGCTTAATATTTAAAATATATCTTAATAATATTAAGGTGAATTATAAATTATATGTGTATTAGTATTGATATTATTTTCATCCTAGAATATAAAAGAGGACTGGATTTACAATACGTTATTAAACGAAATTAAATTGTGATTCCTTTGTAGTCCAAGGTATAATATGCTATCATTAAGTACTATAAGCCAATTATTCATATTTTAAAAAAATATGGAAAAGTTAAATGTTGTTTTTATAGAACTATGTGTTAATGAAAAAAAAAATTTCAAATTAAATAATTTTTAGATTTTCGGCGGAAATTCTTTCACAAGATGACATTTCTGTACTATCTGGTCCTAGTTCTAATATAGAAGTTCAATCAAGTTTGGTAATGTCTAAATAAATGTCATATTAAATATTAAATAAAATTATTTAGGATGATAGTCAAAATATATATTTTTTCAGATTACTAACGGGATGAAGGATTCTAAACTTCATCGTCATGGAAGCCTTAGAAATCATTCAAGATCAATAGTATCACAAAATCATAGGTCAAAAATACCTGTTCATTTACCAGCAAAGTAAGTTCTGATTTAGTTTATTTAAAAGTATCAATTTTAAATTTAATAAAATAAATTACAAAAATAAGATATTATAATTAAAAATAAGGAAATGGAGTAATATAAATTGAAAGTGTCAACTATTAATTCTATAAAGTGTTATGCTATGCCTTGTTCTTTTTAGTTTAATTTATTCATCTAGTTGTAAAATTTAATTACTTTTCTAAGATAAAAATTAATTTTTACAATTTTTTTAATTTAATAAATTATTATTTTTTTAGACACGTTGCATTATATCCATATAAACCTCAAAAAGCAGATGAACTTGAATTAAAACGTGGACAATTATATATGGTCACAGAATGTTGTCAAGATGGTTGGTATAAAGGAACATCATTAAAAACTAGTTGTTCTGGAGTATTTCCTGGAAACTATGTTACTCCTGCAAAGTAATATTTAAATATACTTTTAATTTCTTTTGAATGTTTAATTTAATTATTATATTTTTAGAATATCTGTGCGATTAGTAGGCAATAAATCTAATAACAGTTCTACTTCCACTCAAAATCAAAAAGAGAATCATACAGCTCTTAAAGAACTTTCAAGTGGTAAGAATATACTCTTTAAGTATATACTTTTAAAAATATTACCAAAAACATAAGTAAGGCACATTTTCTGAAGATTATATCAATAAAAATAAATTACTTTAATACATATAATCTAAGTAATATACTATAAGTAAGTGATTTTGTTTTATATAATATTTTTTAATAGATTGCAATTTTCAAAGTGATGTGGATGATAATCTACCTTTGTATCCACCGCCAGAATTACCACCTCGTAGTAGTAGTCCATCTGTTCATAGCCGTATTACTAGTTGGTTATCTGAAATGCCTACATCTTCACGTGCTTGTTCTTCAGCTCAACAAAGTTTAAGACCAGTGTATTCAAATGAGGGTATAAAAACTAAAATTTTATTGAAAAATATTTTGCGTATTTATAATATGTTATTATATTTAGTTGATAAAGAAACAGTAAATTCTGAAATTGGAATAGCTGCTAGCACTGCTTCGCCATCTCATTTAATTAATTCAGACAATGTAATTGTAACTTTATTTTTAATAGTTGTTAATACATCATTTTTAAAAAATGGAATATTTTAGTTAAACCAAAAACGAACAAGAAAAAAAGGTTTTCTTACAAATTCAGTTATGCGAAGTTTTTCAAATATGAAGATAAGAAAGTCTCCTCCCCCTATGTATTCAATGGATAATCCAGTATTTGATGATAATATCACAGTCTCATCACAATCTACACATGCTAGGTAAATTGTAATATTATAAATACCTTGTATGTTATACTCTTAACATGAATGTAAAATGTTTTATTGATCAATTTAATATTGTTTTATAATATTAATTTGTACAGTTTTTATTATTATATTATTTTTTTAAGATCTGACTCATGTCCATCAAAATTATTGAATATAGATGTTTTACAAAGAACCCATGATCAAACGCCATTAAAAATCCGAAGTAATATTAATATTAAGAGGTGAGTAAAAAAAAATGTAATTCTCTTTAATAATAGAGATTCTTATCTTTAACTCTATAGATTTTTTTTTTTTTTTTTAAAAAATTATAAAAATATTTCTAAAATAGTTAACAAACAACTGTTATTTCTTAATGCTCACTGTTATTGTGAGTGTAGTATGGTGCAGTGGACATTATAGTTATTAATAATAAACTCTAGTATTAAGTTGCACCTGCTTCACAGATGGGTGACGTCTATATATGAGTTTTTATAGCAGCAAATAACACAAAAACTTTAGTGAAAAAGGCAACAGAAAACTTTTACTTGACTTTTATACCAAATCAACTGATATTGTTTGGTGATATATATGCAATATATTTAAGAAACTGTGGATCAAAAGTTAATTAATAAAAATTGAGTCTTAATTTTAATTGTGAAGCCTAATCTCATGAAAGTCATTAGTAAATCACATTGGATCTATTAATAGAAATTTAATAAAATAAGTAATAATTGTACCTATTTAATAACTAAATATAGTATGATAATTATAGTAGCTGTGCATCAAATATTTGTATTTATTTTAAATAACATTTTACAACTGCAATATTTGAATCCAACCGTGATATAACTCTTTATTAAGTAAACTAAAATTAGTTTTCAAATATTCCTCTTAATTATACTTGCATTTTTTATTTATTTATTGTAAATTGTACTTTTAACTTCAATGCGAAGCTGAAAAGGTATTGGTTTTACTATAATGTGTTTTTTTTTTGTGTGTGTTACCACTTTTTCTCAGCTCTCACCAAACTGATTTCTTTCAATGATACATCAAAAGATCACAAATTGTTTCTAGTCGAAGACATTATTCTCAAAAATTAAAAAAATTTCCCTCGTTCCTAGTAAATGATGGAAACCTCCAAAAAAATTACAAATTAAAAAATCGCTAATTTTCGAAATTTTTCAGTTTTTTTTTACTAAAAACTGTCATAACTTTTTCAAAAATGAACATATCAATATATATATTTTTTTTTATAGATGATTTTTTTTATTGATGTCTTTACCTATCATTTGGTATATTTTTTTCATAAATTTAACCCTTTACCAGCTCACAGGGGGGATTTAAAATGACAACTTTTTCACAAAAAATTAACTTTTTCAACGTAACTTTTAAAAATGTTCCGGAAGGTTTTACACTTTTATATATATCTTAAATTAAACCTAATGTAATGTACTTTATTATGGAAAAAAAAATTTGACCTTTGGACTTGTCTTTGTGGTGAAAATAGACATCTAAGTCAATAAAAAATTACGGTTTTTGTAAAATAATTCTTTTTTATATTTTGAACTTAATAATGCTATAACTTTTTGGAAAATGTATGGAGCAACACAATTTTTTTATGAGAAATAATATTTTTTAATAATCCCTTTTTCATTAAGGATATTAATAAAGAAATAGCAGATCATGTAGCTTTTGGAATAATCCACCAATTTTTTAAAAATAAACACTATCCAAAGATTTGCATCGAAGCATTTTTTTTTAATAGTAATTTTAATCACTGTCAGATATCATTATACTTGATCCTACTATGCCACGTCATCATTGTGTCACGACCCCCCTGTGCTGGGTTTTTTATTTTATCTTGAATTTTAAATTATAATACTTTTACTATTTGATTTAGTGAAACACATTCAAATGGATCCTCAGTTTTAATTCATCATAGAAAATCTCAAAGTTTAGATACAAGTAATAATAGTGTTATAAAAGATGTTAAGACACAAGACAAAAAAATGAAACAGACTTCTAGAACCCAAGAAAATATGTATACACATTTGAAATTTATTCTTGGCTAAATATGTTATTAAATTTTTTATTAAATTTTTAGGTGTAAGTGTATAGTAGCTTATCCTCCAAATAGTGAATATGAACTAGAACTTAGAGTTGGAGATATATTGTATGTGCATAAAATTAGACAAGATGGATGGTACAGAGGAACATTATTAAGAACTGGAAAAAGTGGTCTATTTCCATCAAGCTTTGTTGAAAAAATTTAATTTTGTTATCATATATTTTCATTTATTACTATTTCAATAATTTAAAAGTAAGTTTAGGTTACTCTTTTATACGAAATAGTACATCTTCAAATTAACTTAACCAAATTTCATTATTATTAAATTATAGTTCTCTTTGAAACAAGACAAAATATTTAATATAACAATTAAATTAACTATAAATGGGTTAATTCAATTAAGTTATAAGTCAAATATTAATAATGATTCTGTATATTTATCTTGTATTTATGGATTAATTCTAGATAATTTAACTGTAATTTATGAATTGTGCAATTGAAATAAATTTAAATTAATTGATTTATTTTTTTTTTTAATAAGATGGATAGTTATTTATATATTATATTAATATCTTAATAGCTACAAAATGGTTTTGTCAATATTTAATTTTCATTTCTAGTATAACTCAAAGTGGTTTTGAAAGTACTGGAGTGCTTAGTGGTTATTTTATAATTAAATGAATGTCTAAATATTTGATGATATGGGAATATGTCCAAATATTTCTAATATTCTACAATTTAATATTCATACTATTATATTTAGGGCTTATTGAATAAAAATAAATTGATGTTTGATTATTGTTTTGATTTGTCAACATAAGATTTATCTGAATTTGATAACTTATTTATTAAAAAAATAAAATAAATTTAAAACAAGCAAAAAATAATTCTATATTATTGTTGTGATATTAGATATTTTTTTACTTAAACAATTTAATACTTTATTATTCCTTATATTTATTCATAGCTTTATAGTAATAGTAGTAAATTATATATTATTATTATTATTATTTAATCTATAGATTTTCCAAACAATTTCATAACTTTAACTCATTTTTAGTTTATCCATTACCTATTAAATTTAATTCTGCATAGTAAATTTGTTTAGTTTCATAATTATTAATTTTTTTTTTAATCTTTGGTCTTATTAAAATTATTTAACTCTAAATATATTTGTATTTGACTGTATTGTTTATACTATTAAATGTATTTAAACAAATAGCTTAATCATTATAGAGAAAAAAAACTTAGTTAAAATGATATACATCACAAATTTCCTATATTATTGAAAAAATAGTTCATGTTTTTATAATTGATATTATAGATTATTGTAATTACTTATTAAAAAATTAATTAAATTAAAAATATTGAATGGTCAATTAATTTTTAACTTTTCAAAGGCAACAGTTATTTTTAAAGCAAATTAATTATGTTGTAATTTATTTGTTTTTTATGATATTTACTTATTATTTATAATCATTGTTTGAATAAATCAGTCAAATGTAATCTTAAGTAGTGTCTTAATAATTTACTCTCTTCTGTTATTACTATTGCTATATTTAAATTGTAAATTAAATTTTGTTTATTATTAAATTGTTTGTAACTTATTTAAGTATTAACACTAAGATAAATTTATTATGTGTGACTAAAATTTAATAATATATTGTGACAAATTTAAAAATAAACATTGTCAATCAAAATTATTTTCAATTTTTCTTAGTTTGTTTTATACTTTAAATATTAAACCATTGTTAAAAGATATCCCTTCTTTTTTTTTGTATATTGATAACTGTGAATTTTCCCAAATTATTATTGGGAATCAATGTTCATTTATTCAATAGTCTTTGTTCCAGTAACACATATATCATGAAGTCACAACTTTAATTAAATGTTTTATTATTTTTAATTTTTAATTTTTTTTTTATTTAATATTTTTAACTAAACATTTTTAATAATTCGTCTATCAATTTTTTAACTATAATTCATATCTAGTACTTTTATTCTGTGCTAAATTAAACATATATTTATATGATAATTGAAAATAAAGTTTAAAATTGCAATTAAAGGATTATTGATAACGCTAAGGTAAGTTATTTAAATAATGTGTTGTTATATTAAAGTTAATACACAAAATTTGTGTGTTCTAGAAATACACCATGCTCATTAAAAATGTATTTTGCATACTTAACTTTGAATGTTATTTTGATAAAGTTATTCAAAAATACGTGTAATCAATTTTTTTAACTATTACCGGAGAGAAAAATATAAGAATTGTTTTAAAATTTTAAATAACAAATAATAAACATTTCAAAAGTATTTCTAATACAGCTAATGATTGCTAATATTGCTGTGGTCTTTATTTAAAAAATAATAAATTAATATTTAAATAGAAAGTTTTGAAAATCGTGCTTAATCAACTAATATAAATTAAAATAGATAAATACATTTCAGACAAACAAAATAATTTCAACATTTTCTATTATCTCATGATTAGGATTAAATAGCTTTACGATATTTTTGAAATCGTCATGCTCAATGAATGGATTTATATTATAAAATTACAAAATCAATTAATACTGAATGCATTCAATACTCTATATGTTCTATTTGGTATCTAGATCTATAAATAAATAATGGAAAAGCCAAATATGATACTTTATTAATGTAACCGTACTTTAGTAGAGATATTGAGACTTTTATTACATGTTGTAGTCTCCTATCTATTTTATTATCGATGTTTAATATTTACCCGTTTTTAATTGCGTATCAATGTCATATAAGTTATAAACTTTGGACTTTAGTCCAGAGAAGTGAGGTAAATAACTTTTCTTTTCAAGACGAATTTTTAAAATGTTTTGTATTTACATCCAAATATAACAACGTATTACAGTTATTAAAACTAATTATTTGTTTTTAGAATTCATTTGTTTTAATAACATGAAATTACTATCAGGGATATGGTTATTGGTACTTTCTACATTAATAGACCGTCCAACGCAAAGTTTGACAACTTCAGATATTTTTAAAACCTTTTTGGGTAAGCTTATGTTTAATTCTATTTTTAACCGAAACATAGAGCAATAATTACCAGGCCCACGCTGACCAGGTGTTTAAGGTGATCTAAGAACAAGGGCAACCGAAAATGGAGGACATCATTTAAATGTTAATGAACCTTTTTTTTAAATTATAATGTGACTTGAAAAAGAAGGTCTTATATCGATTGAAAATTCTAGGGGTGGCCAAATAAGTCGGCGTGGGCTTGATACTCATAATGTACATTAAAGTAAACAATTAGTTTTACTCTATGATTTGAAAAACTATGACAAGTCATGACAATATATTTTATGGTAATTAATTTTAATAAAAAAAACTTCCTCACTAAACATAATTTTGTAAACTATTTAACGATTCAGTGGTTGGTTGATATGCGCAAATAGTGTTTTGTACTTGATGGTGCTTAAGTTCCAAAGTTAAAAAAAAAATTTCTATATTCGTTTAAAATAATATACCCCAACTATTTATCATCGATTTATAAATACACAATTTTGTATAACATATATTCACAAGAGCATATTTTCCGCCTATAGGCATTAAATTTACTGCCCTTCTTTACGTTATGACAGAGGGGGTTCATTTTTATATATTTTCGCCATCATACTACTAATTCTTCCATAAAAAAAAGTATTTTAAAAATATTTTTAATGCAAATCTATGTTTATTAATAAATTATAAAATAAATTTCTTGTAGCAATTAATATACATAATATGTATATTAATTGCTACATTGTGTATTTATGATATTATCATAAATACTCAATAAATTAAAACGATTATAATAATTATTGGGAAATCAATTTGTCTTAACAACAATAAAAATATAACTAGCTTTTTATAAATTTGTTGGCCTTCAATATTTGCCGCCCCTTAAAATATACCTCTGTAGGCAGTTGCCTATATTTACTGCATATAAATATGCAGCTGTATATACACTTATTTTTGCCACTGTGGTATTTTAACTATAATTGTAGAAACCAAAACATATTACCATATTTAAAGTACATTACACAAATGTGTATTTCATTGTGCAATATCATCGGTGTAGAATATACTATACTGATAACATTGTACACTATTATTTATACAATAATATAAGGAATTGTTTTATTTTTTATCGCAAAATTTTAAAAGAATAGTGAAATCTGCTTGTGGTACTAATGTCATCCCAATGGATGCTAAGTAGTAAAAGCAACCTATATTTTAAGTATGGGCAGAACACTCAACTTTTATAGTAAAAAAATCTGGAAATTAGCAACTGAAAATTGTTATTCACCCTATTATATTTAAAACACAATCAAAGTTAAGTAAAATAATGATAAGGGAAAGAATTTTATACATTTATAAATTATTAAGTTGTTCTAAATAAATCACCAGCCAGTAAAAATTTACAATAATTAGCTTGGGCGTCATATTTCGTTTTATTGTGTTAAAAATATTTTCTTCATTTTTATTAATTGAAAAATAATAAGTGGTTATACCAAATATTAATTATATACATAATATCTAAATATAGTTAGCTCAGAAGAAAAATTATGCCCTCCTCATGAATTTCATTGTCCAGAAAATAAATGTATAAGTTCAAGTAAACGATGTGACGGCATTAAAGATTGCACTGAAGGAGCAGATGAATTAAATTGTGGCAAGTTTTGAGTACGTTTTTTATAAAAATAAATACGTGTATTGTTAAATTTTATTTTTTAGAATCCGTAAAATGTTTACCACCGGATTATTTCAAATGCGCTCTTAGTAAACAGTGCATATCTAGCTTTTTTGTATGTGATAAAAGTAAGGATTGCGAGGATGGATCAGATGAAATGGAATGTCACGTTGTGAGTATTCCCTTGCGTATTTTATTATTTATATTATATAATTAATAATTCCAGTCGAATTTAGTTGGGAAAATGAAGAAAAAATTTTTATTTTATAATTAATACTATTTTTGATAATCTTTTTTTTTTTTAATTATTTTAAAAATAAAACGGAAGCACATTGAGATCGCAGTATAGTGTGGACGTGGCATAGTTGGTATATGAATAGATGATATCTGTCAGTGATTAAAATCACTATCAAGAATCACTGATGCAAATCTGTAATGATTAATTTTAAGAAATTGGTGGATTATTCAAAAAGCAAAATTAATTCCTATTTCCTTCATTATTTCTGATTAGTTGTTCTTTGATTTATAAGTATAATGTATGAATAAATAGTCATTATAGCAATTAAGTATAGTATGAAATTGATATTTTATAATTTAGTATTTTAATTTTTACGGAGAAATGATAAAAAATTATAAAGCAGTTATTACATTTATGGCAAGCGTTTATAAAAGTTGAAGGTCTTGATGCAATACTTAAAAAAAAAATTGTTTGTTTTTTATAAATAAATTTACTGGTCTACCAAGGATTTTCATCCAAGACCAAAATATACTTTTCTCGGACAATTTTTCGCACTGATTTAAAATCTGCAATTAGATGTTTTTTATCATAACTAACTTTTGATATTATTACTAATTTGTTAAAATATGGTATGTAATTATACGGAATGTAGTTCTGAATATTTCAATTATAGCATTTATTTAAACATCAAGTGTTACATATAAATGATTTCTATTGAAATTATTTATTATGATATAAATACAAAAAATATAATAAGTGATTTTAACGAAATTTTGAACTTTTTTCATAATATTACTGTTAATAGTAATTATATAAGTCCTAACCATATATCAGTCTAAATGAGATAAAATTCAAATGAGTTAAACATTTTCTTCTAACTCAAAAATAATTAAGCAATAATGTCAAAAATTCGTCGTCATACACGGGTTTGAACTTCGTTGATAGACGTTTGATAGACACTAGTTTTACCGATTCGGCAATTGTACATCGCGTTCGCTTTGTGATAAAAAAGCTATTTAAGTCAGTTCAAATTTCAAAGTTATTTTTCTCGACTTAAAAAAAGGAAAAAATTTTAAATAAATTTATCTTTCTATACTATGTTACTTAGATTTATTTAATATTTATAAAAATCAGTGTACTCCCCTTGTCAAGTATTTTAAAATAAAATAAAATATAAAACCTAGAATTTAAACACAAAAATAACATATTTTTGAATACAGTAGTCATTTTCACCATGAAAACAAGTCCAGAAGTTAATTTTTTTTTTTTCAAATTAAAGTATACTACATAAGCATTAATTTAAGATATACAAAAGTATATAAAAGTGTCAGTATTTCCGAAACATTCTTGAAAAAGAAATTGTTTTTGAAAAAGTTGCCATTTTGAAACCTTCTTTATGAGTAGCTAAAGGGTCAAATATTCACAAAAATATGCCAATTAATATGTAGCAGATACACTTTCCTCATCTCACCTTAGTTATTCTATATGTCTAATATATATATATATATATATAGGGTTACTCGACTATAGTCAAGTAATCTTATATTATACTAATAATTTTTACATAGAATTGATTGACATTAAAAATTAAAAAATTAATTTTCTTTCAGAAAAATCCTACAAGACCATGCTCGGAGGGAGAATTTAAATGTTCCAATGGCGCTTGTATTCCTGCGACATGGCATTGTGATAGAAATATTGATTGTGATGACGGAAGTGATGAAGATATGGAAAAATGTAGAGAAAAGGTAATAATAAAAATTTTGATTATACAATTTTGAGTTAAACATTATTTGGTAAGTACAAACTTCTCTTGATTATGTAATCAAAAATTTATATTAGAAGAGTGATATTTTTTTTAATTTGTTTTTTAGTTAAAATGAGCCTTCTATTATTATTACTAATTTTGAATGTTGGAGATTATAAAACGGAATAGGAGAGCTGTTTGAGATAGAGTAGCTAGAGTAAAGACTATAATAAAATAAAATAAGATTATACATACATCTAATTAGGAAGGAAGAAATTTTTAAGAGGGAGGAATTAGGTCCAACAAGTCTCTTCAAATATTTTATTTTTTCGACTTTCTTTGTTTGTATTAAAAACTCAAACATTGTTAACCATTTCGAAAGGGTTACAATTGCCTATACTCCCCTCTGTTTTGAAAACAATTTAGATTTTCAAGGATGATAATCAGCTTTACATTCCACTCTTTAAAAATATTTTAGGTTTTCAATGTACAATTGACGCTATCTTGACGTAGAAATTTCTAATTATGCTTACCTTGGTATTCAGTATACATAAAAAACAAAAATATTCTATTAACAAAACATTTTCCCCTACAATCTATAAATATTCTATGTTGGGGCAAATAATTTTCTATTGATGATATTGTTAGTATTTTCTATGTTAGAATTTAGTTTTAATATGCAAGTAGCAATTTTTATTTTTATTATTTTTAAATGAATTATCTTTTGCTTTAGACTTCTTGTACAGAGGGGTTTTTATGCAAAAATTTGAACTGTGTGTCAACTGTCTGGCGCTGTGACGGTAAAGATGACTGCGGAGATGGTTCGGATGAAACTGACTGTGGTAAATCACTATTGTTTACTTATTTTACTTCAATAAATATTATTAAAATATCTACACCAAGTATTTTTATTTTATAGAGTTACGGATGATCGAACCTGACCAATGTTTAAACATTAATAGAAAGTTTTTATGTCACGACAGAAAAAAATGTATTGACATTGAATCTGTCTGTAACAGTGTTAATGATTGTTTAGATTCGTCAGATGAAGGAGGAATATGTAATACTCCTGCTGGTATTAATTATAATTTCAAACTAATTTTTTCTTAAATATTTATTGTTATTAAAGTTCATAAAAAATGTATATGTTATTTTAATTATTAATTTGAAAAGATTGCAGACAGTATCGGAGCTTTAAATTTGTAATATAGATAAGGGACGGTGTTCATAAAGAAATCCTATCAAAAAGAAGTTTTTGACTAATATTATATATTTTTTGTAAACTTAGAATACTATGTATGTAAATAAAACTTTTTATTTCAGGCTTAGAAAATGATTGTAAAGCTGCCAATTGTACTGGAATATATCAATGTTTAAGAAAACCACACGGAATTATGTGCGTTTGTCCAAAAGGAACAAATTTTTCAAACAATGCATGTCAAGGTAATAATAATGATAAGAAAAAATTTCTTTATACTTTATATATATTTATTATAAATAATAATAATACAAAATCAAATTGTATTTTATTTAAAGTTAAAAAATAAAATTACGTTTTTCATATAGATATAAATGAATGTGAACAATTTGGAGTATGCGATCAATATTGTACAAATACTTTCGGTAGTAAAACATGCTATTGTGATTCAGATTATGAACTTAAAGATAATCATTCGTGTAAAATTAAAGGTTAGTGACATATAAAATTATTAAAATTGGAAGTAGGACCAGAAATTTGTAATATTTCATATTTTTCTTATTACTCTAGTTAATAGTTCGCCAAGTACAAAATCTTATTTATACACCAAATAAGGATTCTTATAAAAATCATTAAAAAATATATTTTAGTAAATCTTTTAATTATTAATATTTTTGTGTAAGGGGTCAACTGGCCTAGTGTGTAAAAACGTATGTTTCGGCTCACGGGGTCCCGGTTTGATCCCCAGGATGTCAACAAGTTTTTCTTGTGATTTTCTACTTGGTGGTGTTTAGTCTATGATGCAAGCCGGACATAATACCTGTTCTTTCCTTCATCATTGGCGTAGCCAAGAATAATCTTCGACTCCCTAACATGTGAAAGAGGGTCACCACTCACTGTAGCATGTGAAGTTCGGGAAATAGAATGTAAAACTGATAATTTTATTTATATTTATATGTACTTTTAGATCATTTTGATAGTATTTTTTTAAAAAATATTTTGACAATTAACTTATTTTTAATATTTTTTTATTGTACATCTTCTTAAAAAGCCTATTTCATATTAAATTTATTTTGAATAAGGATCCATGCTATTGTATGAATAAGTGCTGTGGATTTAAAAATTATTCTAATAATTTAAAAAAACTGATTAAGTCGAATATTTTTCTATAAACTTAATTTCTTAGTTAAGGTTAAAATGTTGAAAAAAATATATAATCGTAGTTATACGTGATTATACATGTATAATTACCCTTATCCTAAACTTCCACTTGACACGATCTCCCACATCCTCAAAACTCGCATTAGCTGTTCTCATATCGCATTCAATAACTTCCCTCCATCTTCTTTTTGGTCTTCCTCTACCTCTTCTTCCTTCAACATTCATTTATACAACTGTTCTTACAGCTTCCCGTTCTCTTCTCCTCATAACATGACCAAACCATTAAGTCTATTTTCTATCATCTTATCCACAATTGACGCTACACCTATACTCCCTCTTATATGTTCATTCATTGCTCTATTTTCTTATCAACCACCCAACACTCTGAACTATACATAATGGCTGGTCTCACTACAGTCTTATACAATTTACCTTTTAACCTCATTTGAATTCTTTTATGGCATAACACACCAAACGCTTCTCTCCACTTCAACCATCCGCACTTAATCCTACGTCTTACATCCTCGTCAATACCACCGCTCTTTTGTACAACTGATCCTAAATACTTAAAACTTTCCATCTCTCTTATCACACCTCGTCTAATGTCATTGATCTCCTCATATCACCTACCTCGTGTTCTCCTTTGTCAAACTCGTACTCTATATACTCTGTCTTAGTCCTACTTATTCTTAAATATTCTTAAACCCTTTTCTTCAAGAGCTGATCTCCATATCTCAATTGATCAATTTTCTCCCTATTTTCTTCTATTAACCAGCAAACCAAACTGGTTTTTAGATACCGTTGTCTCATTTCTTATTCTCTTATCTATTACCTTTTCCCAAATTTTTATACTATGACTCATAAGCTTTATGCCTCTATAATTTCCACACTCTTGTATGTCACCTTTACCTTTAAATATCGGCACCATAATACTATTTCTCCATTCATTTAGAATTTCTGCTTCTAATAAGATTTTATTTAAAAGTTCCTTCAACCACCTTATGCCAACACCGCCTAATAATTTCCATACCTTTACTGGCACTTCATCTGGTCCTACTATTTTATTCTTTTTCATTGATGCTATAGCCTTTAATACTTCTTTCTCGCTAATTAAATCTACCAGTCCCTCATTCCACGAGATATTCTCTAATGTCTTTTTTGGGTACTCCTCATTTAGTAATTTTTCAAAATACTCTTTCCACCTTTTTTTCATACCATCATCACTTGAGAGTACCTTATTATCAACACTTTTTATACACCTTATATAATGATAATATTTAGATCTTTTCTCTCTTACTTTTGCAAGTCTATAGATTTCTTTCTCGCCTTCCTTTGTTCCTAGCCTATCATACCTCTTAAACTTCGCCTTATTACTGCACACTTGACTTCTTTGCACAAGCGTTTATACTCCATCCAATCTTCTATCCTTTTGCTCTTCTGCCATACTTTAAATTGCTTTTTTTTACTTTCTATAATTTTTTGAACGTCCTTATCCCACCGCCCGGTTTCCTTGTTTCCTGGCATTCTACTCCTACTCTCACCAACAATCTCCTTTGAAGTATCCTTTACACAACTAGCAAATCTATTCCACACATAATTTATGCCTGCCTCAGAATTCCATACCGTCCTCTCTTTTGCCGTCTTTACAAACTCTTTTTAATTTTCCCCTTTCAATTTCCACCACCGGATGTTCGATTTTTCTCCCGTGTTTCTTCTGTTTTTGTATATTTTCTTACCGGTACACCACAACTCCATTGCCATCAGTCTATATTGTGTAGTTACACTCTCGCCTGGTATAACTTTACAATCTTTTACTCGTTTTACACTCTCTCTCTTCCACATAAAATAATTGATTTATGATCTATTCCTCCCACTCTTATAAGTTATATAATGTTCTTCTCTCTTTATAAAATAAATATTAACCACAGCAAGATCATACGATACTGCAAAATCCAGGATTTTTTCTCTAGCCTTATTCTTCCTACCAAAACCATACCCTTCATGTACTCTTTTATATCCTCCCTCTCATTACCTACATGTCTATTCATGTCTCCTATCACCGAATCCTCATTGCCAGGTACCCCTTGTATCACCTCATCCATCTCTCTCCAAAACACTTTCTTGTCTATTTCATAACAACCTACTTGTGGTGCATAGGCACTTATTACATCCAGCACTTTTTCCTCGAATATCAATATTACGACTTTAATTCTGTCACGTTTTCTAGTTTCTTCTACTACTTTACTTTTAATCTCCTCATCCATTATTATCGCTACACCATTCTTTGTACTAGACTTACCTAAGTATATTATTTTATAACCCTTACCTATTTTCCTCGATTTCTCTCCTTTCCACTTAGTTTCCTGCACACAACAAATGTTAACTTTTCTCCTCTTCAATACTTCTACCAGTTAATGTTCAGTTTATCTGTCTCCCTTATATACAAGTCCAGCCTAAAACTAAGTGGTGAAGTCCCTACACCGTTGACACTTAGCGTTGGGTAGATATGTACACATGAGTGGTGAACACATCACAAGTTGTCCGGCTGGTATCAAACATTTTATTACTTAGGCCTTCTCCGTTTTTAACTATTTTATTTCCTCTCACCTGTTGTCCCCGCGTATATCCGAGATAGGACAATTCGCCTAAATTTTGTTCAGGACTACTCATAATTTTTGACAAAAATTTTACGCTACCAAAAAATAAAGTCTATGCAAGGATCCCATTACACCAAACCAAATTCGAAAATAGGGCGAACCAATGAGCAAAAAAGACTTTTGAGGTTTTGAGAAATGAAATTTATGAGCGATTCTCTGAATAAAGCCTAAAGTTTTGAGAGCCTTGCAACATGTTTCTTCAATATGAAGGCGAAAATTTAAATTAGGAATGAGACGAAACTTAAGGTCAAATACAGAAAGGACAGATGCAATAAAGAAGTTATTAATATAATAAGTTAAAGAAATAGGATAGAAAATACGTTAAAAACTCATTTTATAGCACATAGAAGTATTAAACGTCAAGTAAATTTCTTTAGCCCAACTAACTAAGCGATCTAGATCAGTTTGAAGTAAACTAACATCAGAACTGTTAGTGATACGCATAAATAATTTGAAGTTACCCGCAAAAAGAAGTATTTTAGCATGCTGTAAAACAGAATTAGCATCATTTGCAAAAATAAAAAAGGGAAGGGGAGAAAGGATTCAATCTTGTTGAACACCGGAGGAGGTAGTTATCACTTTAGAAGACCATCTTTGAACATTTATCCACTGTTTTCTTTCGATTAAATAGAGAATTAACCAAGAGAGGAGTGGTTCGCCAAAACTAGCGTGGAATAGAAATTCTAAAAGAATATTTAGGTTAAGTTTAACACGGCCGGTTATAGAAAGTGTACCGGGAATCATGTGAAAAAAAGAGGCACGTTACAGGATTAGAACCCGCGACCCAAGGCGTCGTATAGACAAACCTTACCACTAGGCCACCGTGCACTTATGATTCTTATCCCGATACACTTTCATTTAGGTTGATAACGTGATGTGCGGCTGAGGGAAACACGGTACCGTGTCAAGTTTATTGAAGGTTTTCGAAAAATCTGTATAAATAACATTTACGAGTTTAAAAATTGTGAAATACTAGGATAATTAACAAAATTAAATTTATAAAAAGTTATAGGTAAAGAAGATTTAGAGAACTGATAAGTAACTGGAAAGACAGAGAGCAGGGTGGTAGGAGTCAATAGGAACACAAGGCTCAGGAGCTAGGCTAACTGTTATATTAAGAGCGTTACTAAATACTAACTTTAAAAGGGAACTATGAGTATTGAAAATACAGTTATGCTGATACAATGAAAAGCAAATGTTTTAGGAATGCAGAAGTAACGAAAAGATAAAAGAGAAGAATATAGAACATCATTAACGTTATTAAACCAATTAAATTGCGGAAAGTTGAAATCACCACAAAAAATGAAAGAGAACTTAGGATAAAGACGGTTAACATGATCAACAGAAGAAACATTATCATCATAGAGAGACAAATATTAGAAAGAGGAAGGTATACAGAGCTTATAACAAAAGAACGAGAATCTAATTTAAAAGTGACAAACGATTGTTTAATAGTATTATTGGTAACGTTAATTAAAAAAAACCCAGCACAGGGGGGTCGCGGCACAGTGGTGATGTGGTATAGATGGATTAAGTATAATGATATCTGACAGTGATTAAAATCAATATAAAAAAAAACGCTTCGATGCAAATCTTTAGACACTGTTTAATTTTAAAAAATTGGTGGACTATTCCAAAAGCTACATGATCTGCTAGTTCATTATTAATTTCCTAATTAAGATAAAGTATGTAGAATGAAAAAGGGATTATTAAAAAATATTATTTCTCATAAAAAAATAATGTTGATCCATACACTTTTCAATATGTCATAGCATTATAAAGTTAAAAATGTAAAAAATAAAATCGAGAATTTTCACACAATAATAG